TTCGGCATCTTGTGCTTACTTCCTTGCGTACGGATGACAGCTGCGTATGACTTAATTTATTTTCTGGTGCTTTCACTTCCAGAGACAGTTGTAATCACTGTGTAACTGCCTCGAGGGTGCTTGACCATTTTAACACAACGTGGTGCGATCATCCCCCTTGCGCGGAGCGAGGGTTCTCGACCCCGCACAACCTGACCTACTCGACCACCATTATGGTTACCGCCAAAAAAAAAACGGTATTCTGGTTGCCGAGTTCACGAAGTGAATTGGCTTGTTTCACAACGCCGTTGCCAAGCGACGAAAACCCAATCCCGATGGCAAACACCGGGGGGGCGGCTTGTTTTACAACGTCGTTGCCAAGCGACGAAAACCCAACCCCGATGGCAAACACCGGGGGGGGAATGGGGGGGTAATTAGGTGCCACCACGCGATGGTTCAGTCGGTTGTTAGCTTCGGCCATGATGGTGTCGAAAGAGACTACAGCAAGAAAATAGGGGGGAGGGGTGGCATGACAAAAAAGTGCAGGGGGTGTCAGCACCAGCAACAACACCGCAACCACCACCGCTACCACCGCCAACGACAGCAACATCTCAACCACAACACAAAAACAACAACAGCGACAACACCGACGTGCCTGGGTAATCGTGTCAGGCACCGGCACCGGAGCCCAAGCCGGGTACCACGGAAAGTACGCCCGCACCCCCGCCCACGAGACTGTGGGGAAGCCCGTGCCGAGAGCTCGGAGCCGTACCCAGAAGCTGGGTAGGTAGGCGCCGTAGAAGACACCCATGAAGGTGGTGGAAATGTCTCCGATCGTCGCGGGCGTGCGTCTCACAAGGAGGAAGTAACACATGATGTAGCTGTTGACCAAGAGGCGGTGGTGTCGTACGGGGAGCGGGGTAGGGGTTGTAAACGCATGATGTAGCTGTTGATAATGGGGTATCAACATCACCATCATCACCACTTCATTGCTCTGGTGGTGTCAAACGGGCAGGGGGGCAGACCTGGTTAACATTTAGAAAACATGGAACATTTTTTTTCCGTGGAAAACCGGGGTCGACAAGTCCCCGAAAATATGCGGACACGGCAACACCAAAGGCGGGCAAACCAAGTCAAGGTACATGTACCTCCATGGGCTCATGGGGGCAAGGAAACATGCCCGGAGAAAATACGCAGGGACCGAAATGCGAAAGAGGAGAAAAAAAATTGTTCGGCGGGTTCTGCCGGCATCGTACGCAGGTTAAATCCTAATGCCCCTCATTCTGCACGCAACCTGAGCACTCACAGCCCGATGTTGGCCATGACGTAGTTGTGAAGGTAAGGAAAGCCAACAGCGAAGGAGTAGAGCAATACCGTAGCCACCGCACTGATACGCCGGGCCGGCTTCACGCCTGCAAGTGAACAAAAAAAGCGCGCCGTGAGACGGGCAGGGGGCGCAAAAAAAGCATAGTACAAAACGAGGGCGGGGGGCGTCTCGGATGCAGGTTTATTGTGAGATTGAACGCCGGACGAGAGAACGGGAACACAAGGAGAAAAATGTGGCGAGACTAGCAAACAACGAAGCTCGCGGCGAGAAGGTATCGTTTGGTACCGCAGGGGTCAGCGGCTGTACTCCACAATCGCGGCTCTTGGGTTCCCGCGAGGGGTTCTCGACTCAAATGGGCAGAGTGCTTGTACTATCGGCCATCCCGTTGCGGCCGATGGACAATATCAACGCTTGCGGGAGAAGCCTCGGTGCGTGATGAACTGGGTGGATGTGTGCTTTCTCTGGATGGATGTGGTACGTATACAGATGGATTATGAATGCAAGCGTAGATGGGTGGGGTGTCTCTGAAGGTGGCGTCGTGCGCCCTATACGCCACCCTACCCCCAACCTGGGTCAAGTACCCTGCCCCCGCCGTCATCCCCGCCATAAACTCACCCTTCTGCATGGCCATCCGGTAGTACTCCAGCTGTGCTAGCAGCGCCTGCAACGCGAAGCCGACGGAAAAAAACCAGTTCCCGCTGAAGATCCACACCGTCGCCACCGCCGCCATCAGTACTCCCGTCCGCACCCGCTTCGTCAGAGTCGACAGGATTCCTTTAGGGGGGGCGGGGCTCGACGCCGAGCCGCCCGATGCTGTCGCAGACTGCGGGGCACCGTCGAGTTTGATGGGGGAGGGGGGGAAGTACTCATGTTTTCCTGTCGTAGTCGTGAGACCATCGACAACGCGTCCTAGAGAGGAACTTTTTCACACGACACCGATGGTCAATATTTTTTTCCTACATTGTGGTGAGGGGGGGATACACCCCTGGGACATGCCCTTGCTTCGACAGTATCAACCAGTTGTCTTTCTAGAGGATTATTTGTTTTCCGCACAGAGTAGAATGGACACGGACTCGTATCAGCCCAGGCCTTTCGCCACCGCCCACGTGTTATGACGCGAAGGAGGCCACGCAACAATATCAGGGACAGCTGCGAAAAACAAAAAGACAACGACGACGACGACGAACAGTCTGTTGCTGAATAACAATCACACTCAAAAGAAGTGTGCTTCGGCACGCACACAATCACAAAGGAAGAGACAAGTGACCCCCACCTCACACGGCCCTAACCCTGACATGACATCAAGACCTTTCGAAGCGTTTCCCGCTACTAGCCGCACTGCGACTGGCGTATCGTCAGCCGGTTAGCGCGGTCGATGCTTAACACAAAGCAACACACACACGAACACGCACATACCTGGACCGGCATGATCTGTGCGCTCGCCAGCTCCTTCTTGAGCGCATCTGAGGAAGACACGAGCGCCTCGAACTGCGGCCTGATGCTGCTCTCCGTGAGGCTAACCCCTGCGTCCCGGCGAAGCTCCTCAATCCCGGAAATAACCGTCTGCGGGACGGAATGATGGATGGTTTCATCGGAACCTCGGTGTCAGCACTTCAATAGACTCAGGAGATGTCTATCTTTGTGTGATGCCATTACAACATACTTTTTGTAGATAAACGTCAGGGTCAGCAGAGGAGAAAGGAACACCCATTAGCAACAGAACGAGTTTCGGCAACATTTGCAAATTTGACAAAGCGATACCACGGTACTATGCATCAAGTGGAAGGTGATCACCGTAATCGCAGATGAATGCCTTCACGAATGACCGAAACACTGCCGTCGTTCTAGACACTCCACAAATATCGTAAATCGGCACGTTAGCCTGTCGAGCCCTAAGGTAGGACACTTTGGGTGTGAAGCACCAAGCTCTCCTTCCCCAACTGCTCGCTGCTCCCTGACGCCCCCCGGTCCTCTCCAGGACCCGTGGTGACGATCCAACCGCTATCTCATGCTGGTAAAGGTCCAACGGCAAAGGCATGGGAAACATGAAGAGTACGCCCCTCCCCCGTTACCTTCACTTTTTCGGACACCACCCCTTGCGGCTGCTCCCGGTCCAATCTCGCCTTGTCCGTCACGTCCCACAGCCACCGCACGTAGTCCAGGTACAGCAGCACGGCCCTGAACGGCCCGGCCCGCCGGTGCTCCTTGCTCACGAACTCACCCCCGCTGGCGAAGACGGGCTGGGCGGCGCCGGCGGCGTTCCCTATTGGCTGCCGCCCCACGGTCCCCGCGTCGGCACCGCCGTCGGCGTCACCCACGGCCGCGAAGACCTCGGGAGCGTCTTCCCCCCGCCCTACGGTAACGTGGACGCCTTCGCCCTCCCCTTCCGTGCTTCCAAAGCCGACGACGTCGTCTGGCTCCGTTCCCGTCGACGACGACATCATCGTTGACCGCTGTTGCCGCCGGCCTGTTGTCCGCGGCCTTGATGTCGTTTCGGTCGGCCCGACAAAGCAGGAAGAGGCATTCCGCGAAGAACAGCGTCGCAGCCGCTGCTGCGATAATCGTTTGCTGGCCGCTAATCTGCCGCCGCTGCCGCCGCCCACGCCGACGAAGAAAGCCCGCGGTGAGGGGTGTCTGCGGGATCCCTCTTGACCTTCTGTACGCCCATCGCGCGCTGTCCTGCTTGATGCTGCTGGTGGTGGTGCAGCATCGGAGCGGTCAAGCACATGCATATCATGCGGCACGTTTACTGGTTGCTCTGGATGAACACATTGACATGTTCAGTGCCTCGGAATATATTTCAAGTTGAACACTTCCGACAACTATCTTTAAAAATTGGTAACCGGATTTTCTTCCGTGCCGGATTTTAGAGCAGATTTGCATGATTGTCTACATATACTCCGCTTCGACCTTGCGCTCCTGCTGTGACGGGTACGCCTTGAATTGCAACTAGCATGCCCATGATAAGCAGCGAACTGTCCACAAGGGCACGCGTCCAACCTTCGACGCACCCAAGAGGTGAAACACTTGAGGCATCGATTGTGCTCCTGGTCAGCTGTACCATCAACTCAAGGTCTCCGACAGTGCAGTGTTGAGGAGAGAGCTAAGGTTTCTGGTTTTCCAAAACTCATCCTCCTTGCAGATAACGACGCCTGCATCCATACAAGACGTCCGGGGAGGTTCCATGGCGAGAATTTCTGCTCCTATAGCCACAGCCTGAGGTACATATCTCTTCGCTCGCTTCGCGTTCCCTGTTTATTTGCATGTGATCGAAGCTGCCCACCTGTGGGTCCCACACAGAAGCTCCGTGCTCTACCACTTGACAGCAGCAAGCAGGCGAGCAGAACCTGATGTAAAGTCATCGCTACGACACTCTTTGATGGAAGTCCTCACTGCACTCTGTACCTGAGGTCTCCTCTCACACATGTCATGTGCCTGTCCTTGTCCTACCAAGGCACACGTCCTGTGTAGCGGCACCGGGAAATCATGATACCGAGAGATGGCATGGGTAGGGCTATAGTCAGTAGCGTGCCCCCGAAATCTGGAATCCAGCAATCCAATCCAGCCGCTTGCCACATGTGTATATATGTGGATGTGGACACGCACACAGAGACAGCCGGAGCGAAGATTTGACGAGAGAGACAAAGAGATCGTGACACAGTTTGAGCTGGATCACGGGCAGCAAGGTAGAGAGACGTGGGTGAGCACGGCAGCAGCTTCAACCTTTCATGCTGTTCTCCCGTCGGAAAGAAAACTATCTCAGCATGTTCTTGTGGCGAATAAGCACACTCGACCAGATCATCAACCCTACCCATTATTGCTGTACCTTGCACTTCAACCTACAGCACCTGCCCACTGCTGTACAACAGTTACATCACACACAAGCTGGTTTTTGAGCTAGGCTTGGAGTATGAGGTAGAAACCGAATGAATATACCATCGGGCTGGACCACAACAACCTCAGCTTTTCGTACTTCTCCGTGATCTAGTACTTCGGACGCAAACGGTCGGTCCACCTCCTGGGCTACGGAGTAGTTTTACGCCTTCGCTTTGCACCACCCCCGTCCACCACCCGGCGAAAGGTCGGGCTACAAAACCCAACCTCCAGCCAAGATCCCATCCATTGCTTTCGACCAAGACTTGTGATAAGCACTTCCCCTCGGAGAGAGCACACCCCGGGCGCCCCCTTGGCGCACAATACATTTTTACAAGTTCTTCCGCAGCGCAAAGAATATAGCCCGAATTGTAGCGTGGAACGTCGTCTGCGTTTGTCCGTTTGTCCCATGCGTCGTAGATGGCGGCGTGACATACATGGTGGAAAAATCAGCATTCCGTGAGCTGCTGTGCCTATGTGTCCCTGTGGGTGTGCAATCTTTGATATCCGGCCAACACGCCTGCAACGCGGTGGGAACGAAAATAGTACAGGAAGGGACATCTTTCTCGGTTTTCCACAGCAACATTATCCCACACCCACTGTTTGCGGCCCACGTCACTTATTTATCGGGTGAGACTGTTTTGGTGTTGAATTAACTTCACGAGAGGTAGACGACCGTCCTTCACACGGACGAAAGAGGGAGTGCTCAAAGAGCGGCTCCCACAGCAAGGAGGGGCCCCGTGAATCATCGCGGTGCTCCCTACCAAATGGCAAACTTAGCAGTCTGCTGAGACACCAAATCATCCAGCACATGTATCCAACACCAATGATCGCAGACCCACGAACACCCTCCCTGGTTCTTCTCGCAAGTGACTTAACCATCAATGAGGGAAGGACCCCCCTGGATACATCAGAAAATACCAACATGGTACTGTATGAAGGGGAAACCCGGCGTCTGGGCAAAACCCCTCGAAAAAAGCCCTACCGCCACAAAAACCGTCGCTATCACAGCGGATCACAACGGCCGCACTTATTGTAACGGCCAAGGCGAAGACAAGAACGCGAGGAACTACGTTCCCCTGGACGATGGTCTCCCAACGCCCCCTACTCCTGCCATTGGTACGCCGACCGCAACAGTTATGCGCCTTTCCCCGCATGGAAAACATGACCTCTCCCAAGTGCTAGAAACTGCTACAGCTACTCCGGCAAAT